TCAGGCCCAGTCGTTAGCTTTCCCTCTAGCCTTTTACTTTTGGAGTAGCTATTGGTCCTTACCCTGCTGTGTGAAGAGGACAGGTTATCCAGGTCATCAGATCTCCGGTTCTCGGTCAGCGGAGCGTATCTGTTCTGGATTGGCACACTTGGTGGTTTAGGAGGATTGTTTGTAGTTCTCCCTTTAGCAGCTGTCCACTGCTGTTTCCTAGTATGAATAGGGGTTGAAGAGGCGCTCTTCCTGGGTGATAACAATGTAGGCCAGCCGGTCGCATCACAGATTTCAGAGCGCTGGGCTCTGCATGTTATCCGTCCTCCCAAATCCCATGGAAATGATTTACTCTTAGGCTTTGCACCCAGAGAGTTCCAGGGAGGACTACCACTTGTAGATTTATTACCCGGTACACAGCCCTCCTGTTCCTTGGAATCCCTGTAGCTGCTAACTAGCTGTGAGTTAGCATACCCTTCTCCATTATTTTGCAACACTGGTAAAGTGGTGTCATTCCCATGACATAGTCCATTCACTTCCACGTTAACTTCCAACCGTTGCATTTTCATTTCCAACACAGCTATCTTCTGTATAAGTTTGTGGAAGTCATCTGTAGAGAATGGAGGCATTTTGCTACCAACTAGCTTAAGCTAAATAGCATGCAGTAGCCTACCAGGCTTTAGCTGTTGCTAGGCCACACTACTGTAAGACTGAGGTCGTCGTAAAAATGTTGAAATATGGCTGAAACCCTCCGTCTATTTACGAAGATGAACTGTCCCAGTGATAAGTTAATGTCCAGGAGCCGCTGCTCGAATGTTTTCAGAGAATAAGAATTGGAAAATCAGCATAAAAAGTAAGCAAAGGCAGGAGCAAGCAGAAAAGCGTCTGCACTGTAAGAAAGAAAGATAAGAATGTAGGCGAGAAGAAGAATTGTAAATTATATCCTGTGTTCTATAGGGAGACAGTGTAAGGCAGCCAGAACAGGAGTAATGTGGTCCCTTTTCCTAACTCTGGTTAGTACACGAGCTGCAGCATTTTGAATCAACTGAAGCGACTTGACTGACTTCTTGGCACACCCTGATAATAAGGAGTTACAATAATCCAGCCTTGAAGTAACAAATGCATGGACTAGTTTCTCTGCATCGTTTTGAGGCAAGATATGCCTGATTTTTGCAAAGTTACGTAGATGGAAGTAGGCGGTCCTTGAAATTGATTTCATGTGGGCGTTAAAGGATAAATCCTGATCAAATATAACACCAAGATTCCTTACAGTCTCACTGGAGGCCAAATTAATGCCATCCATAGTTTAGTAGATTATTCGGGCCAAGTACAATAACTTCAGTTTTGGTCGTGTTTAACATCAAAAAATGTAAGGTCATCCACATTTTTAAGTCCTTAAGGCAGTCTTGAATTTTATTTAGATGATTAATTTCATCAGGCTTGATTGATAAATATAGTTGAGTATCATCCGCATAACAATGAAAGTTTACAGAATGATTCCTTATAATATTGCCTAACGGAAGCATATATAATGTGAACAAAATAGGTCCAAGCACTGAGCCCTGTGGCACTCCATGGCTAACTTTGGTTTGCGTGGAAGATTCATCATTAACACGTACAAACTGAGAGCGTTCAGATAGATAGGACCTAAACCAGCCTAAAGCAGTTCCCTGTATGCCAACTAAGTGCTCTAGTCTTTGCAATAGGATATCATGGTCAATAGTATCAAATGCAGCACTGAGATCGAGCAAGACAAGAATAGAGACAATGGTAAAATAATTGAAAACGTCAATGAGGTCAAATACTTGGGAGTGATCTTGGATGCCAATTTGACTTTTGAAAGCCATATTAGAAGCATGACTAGAAAGCTGAAATATAACATTTTCAAACTTAAACATATTAGGAACTCATTAACCATAGAAGCATCGAAAACCTTTTTGCATGCCATGATACTATCACATTTTCACTACTGTATAACCTGCTGGTCCCAAGCAACTAAGACTGCTATGAGACCATTTGAGGTTGTTTATAAACAAGCCTTAAAAGTTATGGATAGAAAGTCATTAAAACACCATCATTGCAATATACTGTCCAAATACAAACTTTTCAGTTTTGATAGTCTTGTTCTACTTTCCCGAGTTCGATTGGTATTCAGAATCATTCACAATTCTACAACACCACCGTTGAGGGGCTTTTTTCAGTTTCGCCGTGAGCAGAGTTGCAGAAACTCCAGATCTTCATCAAATGCAGATCTAACCATCCCTCTGAGGCGCACTGCCTTTGGACGATCAGCATTTTCGTTTACGGCCATCAAGCACTGGAATACTCTTCCAGTTGAACTTAAAACCTGTACTGATTTTTAACTCGTTTTCCTATGGTGCAAAACAAATGATATTAAGCAACCAGTCAAGCCAACATTAATTACACTGTAATCTGAGTTTTTTTTAATTTGAACTGTATTGTCATACTATATCTTAGATATTTAATTTAAGTGTATTTGAAGTGTACTAAGTATTATGTTCGTAACCTGTATTTAAATCAGGCTTTGTAATTATTTGAGTGACCGAGATCATGTAAGTGTATTTCAAGTGTACTATGTATTAATTTATTGTTTACAATTGTTTGACTGATATAGATCATGCAATGTTATTATTTGTTTATTGATTGTTATGAACCGTCTGAGGACCACAGATGGAAATTAGCTATTAGCTATAATCTGGCATATTGCATCTCTTCTCTTTGCTGAGATTAATGTTTTTGTATGCATGGTCCTTCTATAAATAAATAAATACAAATAAAAAATGAATTGCTACATTTTTATCAAGTAGCATACATTTATTTTTATTTATTATACCTTTATTTGTGTTCATTCAAATATAATTCAATTCAATCAATAACAATTTTTTTCTGGACTTTCATTTGTCTGGACTTTTATCCCTTTTCTCTTTGTTCAGTTATTCTGTGTTTGCTCAGGCCATTGGTTGTTACTTCAAAAAGCCCTCCCTCAGCATTTGTTGTGGATACATTTTTATAATACCAGCACCCTCAATTCATTTCAGTGAAAATAGGCTTTTCTCAAAGTAAAAAATACATCTAGGTCACCATGTGTCTTTGCCTTTGATGCTATAGCTACAATAGGCTGCATATGAGGATTCAAAGAGCATACACAATATAGCAGGTATAGTGTATATATAGATACTGAGACCAAACACTGAAGGTGAGTCACAGCAGGATTCAGGTCAGCCAAATAACTCCAGGTGGCGGGGGTCCTTCCCCCAGGTCACAGTGCAGCCAGCAACTGGACCAAGGTTAGCAACAGTGTGCCCTGGGTGCATAATAGGACATTAATTTGTAATGTAAAGTAAGCCATCCCTTGCTGTAGGCACGGGGGGTTATGAGCGGTTTACTACACTCTACATGCAGGAGTGTACACGTTGTGGTGCAGCTGGTTGGTTTGTATTCCTTGTTTATAATTCAATCCTGGAGCTCCGGTGTTCACAGGGAGAAAAACACATTTAGCATTTAGCCATTGGAAAGTGAAACTTGGAGCTCGGAGGCTGCAAAGAGCAAAAGGAACAATATTTACTGGGTCCCAGGAGTGAGAGCGGTAAACAGATAATACCTGCTTAGGAGGATGAAAAGCATAAAGTCAGGAGTGAGGAAATACCATGGTTCACAGACTTTCTATTTGATCGGGAAGGGTGGAAAATAGTCCTTACTACTTATGGGAAATGTTCCCAAACACTGATTTAAAAAGATCAATTCATTATGAATATACCCATTGAATACAACAGTGGGTTATTTACCCAGCAACACGTGCTTTAACAGTAAGGTGTTTTTATTGTCACACAATGTGAAAGCACTATGTTGGAATGTTCCTCTTACATTTATTTCAAAGCTTCGCTGCAACTGCAAAGTATTCACATTGCATTTCTTCTCGTTTGCTTTATTAACGTTGGAATTCCTGCTGAGGCGATTACAGGGGCGGCGTGTACCTGCTCAGAGCTTTTTCTTTTGTGTGCCGAGCAGAATTTTAAAGCAGATAACATTTGCACATGATTTGTCAAAAACAATATGAGTTTCAACAGAAAGAGCCTCTGCTGAAAAGCCCACAGTGGTGACAGAGACTGCTCTTTGAAGTGACTTAATCGTGATAGACACATTTACATTGTTCTCCCTCTCTTTCTCTGTCCTCGTATATTCATAATAAACAATATCATCTGTGAGAAGGGGTTCAAAACAATACCCGAGGTAAAAGAAGAATATTATGATTTATCTAAAACTTATCTTTACTTCAAATGTTAACAGAAAATGTCTCTAAGAAATGTTTGATCATGAAAAATATGTAGTGAATAACATTGCAGAGGATTATATTAACATTTCTCATATTAATGTTACATATTTACGGGATGTTGTCTTGTGCAGACACAAGTCACTAATGGCACATTCGATTTTATGAGGGGCTGTACGGGACATTATTCAGAAATACCGTTCACACACACATATGAAACGCACTCACACATACAAACACACACATGACATGCTCTAATACACATGTGAAACGTGTAGTGGACATTTTTATTATATCCTTATATGTTTTAAACCAAATGCTTCTCATTTCCTGAGATGTGCTGTTTTCTTCTATCTACTCTACTGTGGGTTTATTCCCAAGCACTTCAAGGCCACAGCTGCTATTTGGTTGAGACTCACACAAAGTCACACAAGAACCTTTTCTGAGAACCGTTATACTATCTACAGCTCAAGGACAGGTGTCTAATAACAATGTGACCGTGTGAAGACAGATTTCTAACCTTCTCACTCTTTCCTGTATATAAGCCTTGCTACCATATTGTACTGCGCACACTCGCACAGACTATTCTATACTCTGTGAGACCTGTGTCTATATGTATTGTATCTTATGTATTTGAAGCTTCAAATAAATAACCAGAAAGACAACTCTGTCTGATTCACCATTTATTTGTTTTGATCACTCTGACTTGTACTCTCCACAGTATTGGGTCTCAGATTTCCATAACAATTGGCGTTGTCGGCAAGATCTCTGCAAGTTCGATTGGGAACACCTACGGACGCTGGTGGTCGCGCTCCAGGATCCTCGGATCCTCCTCTACCTCGACAGAAACCGTACGGGACGAGAGGACCAGCGCCGGGGGTGGAACCGATTGACTTCACGAGATCCAACGAACTCAAAAGGCTTTCAATACTCGGTGAGATGTACAGTGTCTAAATTGTTTAAAGTTAAACGTAATTAAACTCCATGGCATTTATGAGAGGGACTGCTCGAAAGTAGGATATTTGGGATATCCGTCGTGATTTGGGATTACGATTAGTTTTTGTGTGATTTGTACTGAGAAACAAATATCACATCATCGACGGATGAAAAAATAGTGTTTTGGTAACACGGGGTGTTTTGGTAACACTTAAAGACTTTGTTTTGGGAGCAAAGCAGGTGTTTTGGTAACACTTAAAGACTCTGTTTTGGGAGCAAAGCAGGTAGGAGGCTTGTACACTCTCCGATTGTGGATGTCATGCGAGCAGAAATGGTGAAAACAGTCTGTCTAAATGAAATATCTGGACGGAAATGTTCGGATTTCCAAAGGGAGGTTTTTTGAGTAAATTAAAAATCAAGAACCTAAAGAATAAATTACAAGAACATGAAGATGGAATGAAGGGTAAAAATAAAGTTAAAGTAAAAGACTTATAGAAAACTGGACACTCAAAGAAAGTGTTTATAATACTGGGGAGAGAAAAAAGGCAGTTGGCCTTGGGCATTAAAGAAAATATTAAGGTTGAAGATGAATGTGAAGAAAAGAAGGAAAATAAATCATTTCCAAAACCATGTAAACCCCAGACATCTCTGTGTCCTTCCATTGCAGGCCTGAATGACCTCTCCTCGACTGGGTATCCTTTCCCTCCCCCGGGGTACTACCCTGGCAATCCGGCTGGCCCACCTCAACCACCTCCACCGCCACTACAAGCCCCAGCCATGCAGTCCGTCAACTCCAAGCTCGCCACCCCCATCAGCCCCAAGTAGATGGGGACAACAGCGGGATAAACAAACCCGATGCCCAAGCAGGTGTTTGGGACACACACCTCAGATAAGGCCTTTCTCAACGGACTCACAGACACAGCGCAAGCTACGCAGAATGCTGGCCACTCACAATACAGAGGGAGAGGCAGAAGAGGTTTTCCGAGGCAGAAGACGAGAAGCAAGACCTTCATTTGACGAAAGATGTTTCAAGTATGGCAGTGTTGAACATTGGGTTATGTGCAGAGGTGCCCAGTACGTCGACCGCGGGCGACCGGTCGACCGCGGGGGCAATGCTGGTAGATCGCGAGTCATTCATAAAAAATGTTAAAAAAAACGTTAAAATAGACAAAACAGGTTTTGATCCCTCCTCCCTTGGCCTCCCTGCCACTTAATTCAGGAGTTTACTTGATTAACAGAAAAAGCGACCTATCGCTTTCCAGTCTGTTAACCCAGAATGCAAAGCGATACAAAATCAGTCAAGTGCCGGGAAAACTCAAATTAAGTTAAAGAGACAAACAAGAGACAAACAACAAAATGAGTGCGGGACCGAGCAAGAAGCTAAAGACAAACCACTTCCACCCAGAATGGGAGGAAGAATATGTGTTTGTGATGTCACATTCAAAGGTTATTTGCCTTATTTGTAAAGCAAGCGTCGCTCTGCCAAAGAAAGGTAACGTGGAGAGGCATTATCGGAGTGTTCACAAGGCATATGACAGCGACTTCCCTCCGAGTAGCGAGTTGAGAAAGAGAAAGGTCATGTATTATTGCTACACAAATATTATCTCGCAATCTTAGTGTCGCCAACTCGTTTCTAACATGCAAAAAGACAAACAAATGTCGGTGTATTTTCGATCTTTCCAATCGAGACGAGATCTCTCTCCCCCGTCTGTGCGCGAGGGGGCGGGGCAGTTTACACACACGCGGCTGCTACAAGCAGCAACACACGGAGGAGATGGCGGAGAGAAGCGCTCCAAGGTGTGGTTAAATGTTACCCGTCTTGAGGTGGACAATGCTCCTTGCCAAGAGAGTTCAGCATGTGAGGGCGGTAACACGAGCAATGTGTCAAACATTTAGCAAAAGTGCACCACATCCAGACGGAGGAATGCACCGGGTTCGACTGTCTTTCTAGCAGCTCTGCAGCCTGTAGAGTTATATTTGTATTTATTCATGTTAGCAAACTATGGATAAGCTTAAAATGGGAATAATTTGGGTAAAACTGTGAGCTGCATTTGGGGCCTGTTGACATGTGTTTTTGAGGACAAAGGAAGATGGGGGAAGGTGAGAGCATGTCCTGATTTGCATTCAACTTAGAACGAGCTACAGTGGTTGTGATGTTAAGAGAGGTCCCTTGGGTTTCTCTGGTGCTTATCAATAGTAGCAGTTAAGTGAATACTGTTCAAACAATACCTGTGTTTGTGTTTTATATTGATTTCTCTGTTTTATCCTTTCATAAATGTAAGGACTACAAATGGCTATAAACATTCTGGGCTGGTTGGAGTAAACAGGGTTTTATGGCTCTGTGGGGGAGGTGTAGGTATGCAGGCCTTGAGACCTTTTGTTGTAAAGTGAGCCTGTTTGGTTTCCTGCTGCGTTTCCTGCTGCGTTGCGTCTCCCAATGAGATGACCTGAAAAGATGACCAGCTGACCTAACACCAAACCCCTCCTTCTTACTCTGGTATATCTCCAGTGGATCCCTGGCGTTCGGCCTCTTCTTCACATGCTGCGCTCGGGTGAAAGTAGCTCTGCAGTATGCGGACTAGAGCAGGAGTAAGCCGGCATTACTCCTTAAGCATTGCAATATAACTGTAATATATCATGTTGTGTTGTAATGATTGTATTGCATTGTCATATTGCCATTAAAGTAGATTATTGTTAACGGTTACTTTGTAGATATGGATTCCTTCCTGTATTATAACCAGCTTCATAGGAACGCGCGGAGATTTGAAAAGCGGACCAGTTATCCCTTTAAATCCCCAACAAAATGGTGACCCGACGTCTAGAGATAACGAAGCTGAGGAAGAATTCAGACGCTTTCAAACATCTCAGACAATCAGCAGGACTCTGCAACTTTGCAAATAAGGTAAGCAGACGATGAAAGTCGCCTGTCTGTAATTGGATACGCTAAAACTTTAGGATTGTCTGTAGGCGTTTCACAGTGTTTTTATAGTTTAAATGGAATATACAATGCATATTTTACTATGTTAGGAAAGTTATATACAAAACGTAAACGTGGATCGACAGGTAGACGAAAGTCCTGCGTGACGAAAAAATAGAGCAGTTTGGCGCGGATCTGCAGGTGTTTATTCCTGAGTGGCGTAGAAATGGTGCAGTTTGTGTGAATGCGAGGTTTGAATCCTGCACGGCAAAACCTGAAAACTCGATATATCAGATCGAGTCGCCGTTTAAAACTGGGGTTTAAATAACAGACCAATGCTAAAAGCTTAAAGCCAGAGGTCTGTTATATATTAAACCAAGGTAGAGCGTTTCCCTTTGTCTGGAAACTTCTGCTGCTGCCATCTAGTGGCTGAAAGGGGGTATTACACCCTTGAAACTTCTGCTGCTGCCATCTAGTGGATGAAAGGGGGTATCACACCCTTGAAACTTCTGCTGCTGCCATCTAGTGGCTGAAAGGGGGTATCACACCCTTGAAACTTATGCGAGCTTAGAGTTTAATCATTACATTGCTGGCCGGTATTGTTTGGTAAACTGGTACAAAACAATAAGGGATTGAACATTTTTTACAACGACAGCACCAGGAGATGAGTAAACTCAAGAATCTGTAGAGTGTAAATACATTGTGCAAAACACATTTTACACTCGAACTGTTTGCAAATGTAGACAATATAAATAAATGTTCAGAAAGAAGACATAGGCCTACACTTGATTCAAATTTCATTACTGTGATCCGATTGGTGTGCTCTGCAGGTTTACTATTGTTCGAAGTAACAGTGGGATTTAAAATGAGAGAAGATATGGAGATGTTCTTTCATAGTGTGTGGAATATGTGATGCTGGAAACATGTAAGTATTTCAGAGTTGTGTTGGGTAAATATGTAACAATGGATGAAACAATTTTTGGAGTTAGTTTTTGTAATATCATAAGTAGACATTAATTATGTTGTTTACATGGCATTTAACAACTAAGACAGATAGTATGATTAGAAAGAGACAGAGTGGAAAGGGTTGGATTTATTTAACATCAGTGTGCTAGACTTCTTATAGGTAATGTGTACCGGGGCCTGGACTCCCCCTCTGAGTTAGAAAGGCTTTGATCCCGACCCTCCAAGCAGACAACGAGACCTAACCCAACAGGAGACTCCTCCTTCTCCATCGTACAGACAGAGAACCAGAGCTGAACCAACAACAACAACAAGACTACATCAAGACTGCAGCCAGAACTATCTCCACCTGTGGCATCCAGAACCAAACCAGCATGCTGACATACAGAGAGATACTCTCATCAGCCCCTCAGACAGGACATGAGAGCAGAATCCGCCCTCCATAAAAACAGCAGAGAGACTGTAAAGGAGGAGTGCAACAACAGTGGCATGATGGGGCTGCAGATGTGACTGGGCCAATGGCTGCCTACAAAAGTTACAGCGGATGGATTCAACAGCTGATGGACTGAAGAGAAGACAGAATCAGAGGAGTTGGCATGGTCGATTAGAAGTGAGGAGGCCGGGGTCACGGCTTGAGAAAACCAGGGGAGGAGGAAAGGAGACCGGGAATGAGTGAGTTACACATAAACACACTTATTCACAAAACGCACATTTAAATAACTTGAATTAACTTCATAAATACGTAAAGACAGAAAGATTTATTAATCATTTGGTAAATTAAAAATAGCAGTAAAGAGGAAACTATTAAAGTAAAATGATAATCATCCTAAAACACACTGACAGAGTAGAACCATATTCTTCAATATTTTCATCATGTTAACAATTCATTCTTTAAGACATTTTTATTCACGTGTGAATAAAGTAGTGATCTCATTGGTTACAATATTGATCACCATTAAAAGGATAGTTTTAGGAACCACTCTATAGGACAAATCTTTGTTTGTATTAATGGCTAGTGCCAAGCCACATATTAAATTCCAATCTAAAGTGTTGATTTCACCATTGTGGCATAGTTATTACCAGACTTCGGTTTTAAATCCTTGATAAAGGAGGGAGTAATTGTTGCATGTTCGGACACCCAGGGTTCCACACACTGCTAAAGAGTTTAACATCGTTTTTTAAGTAGACCAGAATTATAATGAGCTATGAAATGCAGAGCGACACAGATCCTAGTAATGTTTTGACTCAAGATAATAGTTATTGTACAAAAGTTTCTGAAATAGATCATTAGACATTTTAATTAGTAGTGGTACTCGAAGGAAGTGAGTTTTGTACCAAGTTTCAGGAAAAGTGGGAGGCGGAAGTCCCAATGACAAGTGAGAATCATCTTGAAAATTATAGTTGAAATCGTGACATATTTTTGTAGACAAAGGATACTGGCCTATGCTGAAATGTCAAAGTCTCTGCAGAGCACGACACATGGCCAAAAAAGACGGAGACCAACTGACCTTTGACCCTGACCGACAGTGTAACTTGACAAGGCACTGTGGATGACTGACTCTGGGGTGAACCTGACCAAACTTGACATGACGACCAGACAGTGTGAGTGTGAATGTATGCCGGCATGTGATCAGTGTAACTGCATGATTCTAAAACAATAACTAACCAAGCATGTTTTTGGACTAACATATTATTTTGGAGCTCCAAGGGAAACGAGAGGTTTCCTAAAAATTCCACAAAAAGGGGAAACCGCACATGTGATATTTTCCTCTCACATGAGTTGGCGGTTTGCAAATGTAAAACTACAATCTGAAGATTCTGTTTCTTTTAGGCCTGAAGGACGGAGAGGAACACTTCTTTTCACTGAAGTGTTCACTGTGGAAATAATGATAATAATGTTCGTTATGTCCCTAACCAATTACCTGACAGTTTTTGTTCCCCTCCCATTACAGGCTTTTGTTACACAGGATTTCATGTGTAAAAAGGGGGAGTGAGTATAATGTATAAATGTCAACATGGCTGTAAAATTCACAATTTACATTTTTTAAGGATTGAGCATTGAATGTAATTAACCTGCTCCATATCTGGGGATAAGATACTGTTTGATGAAGGTTGAGATGTTTCTAAATATTGATTTGAATTATAACGGGTAACAAAGAAGCAGTGGCCAAGGGGCTACTGTGAAACCGAAGAAGTTGACCTGTGATAATGAAACAATTTTGTAATATTTTAACAGACATTAGAGTAACTGAGGTTTGAAATGTAGAAAGAACATATTACAGTTAAAGCTAA